AAGCCATGTTCCAATCCCATGAACAAACATGGTGACAAGCTGAATTTGGAACCTCTGCACAGACTAGCCAATGTCAAGTCTCTCCTGCTGGGATTTAAGCTGCACTGGACTTGGATTGTCTCAAGACTTCTCTCACGAGCGTGTCTAACTGTACCTGCCCAATGCTGTATGCTGCCACTTGCCCATAAAAACATCACTTCTAAAATTTGCTCTTTAACTCAAAATAAGCTTGTTAGCTGCCTGTTGCAGTAATTTGCTGTCAAGTGTTTGATATGCACTATTTAAGCTGTCTTTTGCTTTCTGCTTTAGTTTTTTCTTCATGGCTGTGACCTGAATTCCCTTCATCAAAACATCCCTCCAGTGATCCTTCCTGAAGAGTATGGTGGTACTTCAGGGAAGCTGGACATCTCAGCATGGAATGAGCTGCTGCTAGCCTCTGAAGAGGACTTTCTGCATGATTTCTCACAGCTGGATCTCCCATGTGACAGCTCACCCCATGACATACTAGTGAGTGGGGATGCTGATGAAAAGCAATGTGATGATTCTCTGCGAGGCATGAAACCTCAACTTTATTATTGTTATTAGAAAAACAGTGAAAGGAAGCTTTTTAGCACAGTTAAGATCTTTTCTGATAGGTGATGTTGTGAACTCTGCCTTACTCTTAAACCTGCAGTTTAGGACCAGACTGCTGGGGCACTTTACACTGTGGAACCAAAGGAAGCTGAAGAGGGCACAACGGGGCAGGGCAGAGTTCAGGGAGGATAAAGGCAAAGAGCACAGGTTATGTAGAATACTTGAGGCTCACAACCCTCTGTGTGAATGATGCAAACTGGCCTACTCTTTCTAATGTTAAAAAAAATATATATTGCAGGATGGTAAGCTTGATAGTTTCTTATCCCCTCCCTGCCCAAGTGACAACAATGATTTACTGGCTTTGTGACCATCCATTCCCTTCCCCTTCTGAAAACACCAGTAATGCAAGACAAGGTAATTGCTTTTGAACCCTGCAAAATGTAGTTCTGCCCGTGAAGGTTGTGTAAAAACATGAAAGTCTAACTTGACAGTTGGTTCAGACTGTGACTTGGCATTTCTGTAATATCTCCATGAATATTTGGCTCAAATTAATACAGTGCAAAACTTTCTTATCCATGAATAACCATTACGGAGATTGTCTCTGAAACTTCCTCACAGCAGGAAGAACTAACTGGTGGATTAACGACTAGAACATCTATGCCAACGCTTATTATAAACAGATGCAATCTTCATTTTCAGAAAACAAGTTTTTCAGATTGCATACCAAGGCTTCTGATTAGATACAGCTTCAAATAACAAGGTTCAGGACCAAATAAGAAAAAGCGCTGTCAGCCACTTTCCCACATCATCAGTTGTTGTTTTCTTCAGTCATGATGAGGAATTGGGTAAGTAACCCACACATAGAATTGGTAAGGAGGCTTTGTAGCAGTTGGCATATGAGGTATAGAAGGCAATACGTCAATGTAAGACAGCAAGGTGCTGCTTTAGCTTGTTACTTTGGGCAGAATTTAAGTCTGTGAAACCAAGTACAGACAGGCTATTTGAAAGCACATTCTTAAATTTCCTGGTATTGTAGCATTTTGTTCACTGTGCTTGTCAGCTCTTTTGTGAAATGTTACAACTTTGTTTTCAACTTTGTTGACTTCTTTTTGTCTTTGGTTGTCATGTTCCTGTAAGAAGTTAGACTTTAATAATCTCTGTAATATTTACCCATAGCTTGTATGCCTGTGCTTCTAGGTCTTTGTCTAGAGACAGAACTAAGACTCCCATGTCAAATCAGGGTAAGATACCTATGTCTAAATAAGCTGTTCCCACTCCTTAAGTTCAATCTGTTTAATGGTTTTGAATTAGAACTTAACTCTCAGACTCTTTGCACGTCTTTCTGCACTATTAATAGTGTGGAGATGGGAAACCTCCCTAGGACCAGGAAAGCACACCCTGTTACTTCAAGGGGAAATATTTCACTCTTTGGTGAAGAAGAACATCCCTTCTAATTGGAGACTTATCTCTAGAGCACTTTCTCTGGGTGAAATCTTTATTTAGTGCCAAGTGTGATTATAGTTACCAGTTATGTTTCTGTAAATATAAAACTGAAGCATCTTGAGGATTTCAGACATCCATTTTTCAAAGTGCCAAACTCTGTTTTGAATGTCTGTCTTCTCAGTCCCTCTACAGCATGACTGCACTGCCAAAAAGAGACTCCTCAACCACTCTGACTTCTTGATCTGGCAGCAGACCTCATCCTGGAACTAAGGGGTAGCAAATGCCATACCCGTCATCCAAGCATTATAAAAGGAGACTGGGTTTTGAAAAGGAATAAGTCATGAAGCTTTTTTCTGGGTGGTACTTCAGAATTTGTGGGAGCAGGGAACTCGCCACTTGAGCTGTTTTAGAATAAAGGTGGGAAGAGATTAATTTTCCTCCCTGAAAGCATCCATTTTTTCCTACCGTTGTAAGTCAATTCTTACTTCTCTTTAACAGCTATTACCTTTAGTGCAGGAAAAAACCCCTACCATTTTCATCTACTTAAAATAAGCTAAGAGTACTGGTAACCACCTCCTCCTCCTTTCTGACAAGAATGTGATGCATGTTTTGCAGAGATTAATTCAGTTCTTTGTGCCACCTAGCAAGTGGTAAGTGGCTGCCCATGCTGTTTAACTGCCAGAAGGCAGAGTGGTATTTATGTTGTTTTAGTGCCTCTTAATTCCAGCCACAATATACAATTAAAAAAAATTGGAGGATGGACCATTTTTCCTAGAGGTGAAGGCATGACTGGTATTTGATACTCTGTCCTTAATTGTGCTGCAGGGTTTGAAGTAGGGGTATTTTGACAGTTAACCTGTAAGAACAGTTACTTTGATCCACTTATGTAACTACTAGAGAGGGAGGTTGAATATTGAAAATTCATTTTAGTGTCCTTCAGAAAAAAAAACACAACAAACCAGTGCTGTTCAGCAGAAGGCTGAGGAATCTCTACAGACACCAAACCCTTTTTCAGGCTTTTATATTCTCTTGCATGCCTTAAATAGTAGGCAAACTGGATCCATCTCTCCCTCCCCTTTTCTCCTCTGCTCACAGAGAAACTAGGAATAAAGCATATGAGTTAAACATAACAGATAAGGCTACATTATCAATGCTGAAACTAGCCTGTGTTATGCCTCCAGAACTACTTTTTCTTAAAGCTGGCTGCAGGGCAGTTAATGTCAGGATGCTTGAATCAAGCTAGGCTTACTTTTGTCAAGCATCTGACTAGTTACTTCTAATTTGCTCTTTCTTGGCTTTAGAACTCAGAGTTGCAACTTTATTGAGCTGTATCTCTACCCTTTTTTAGGTTTGCAACCAGTGCAAATAGAAAGCACAGCTCTGTCTTACATGTGCCCGAGTACTGAGCTAAGAATGCTCTTTCAGCTTTAGCACTTACTAGCAGAGAAGTCCATTCCCAAAATTTCTCATGTTGGCATTTGGAAAATAAACACTTCTTTTAAGTATAGAGTCTCTTTATCTACAAGTTAAGAGACTAGATAGGAAAAGCTTATGGGTTAGGGGGGTGGGTTTTTTGGTTTTCACAGCACTAAAACTGACCTGTTCTTTTTTTCCACTTCAAATAACTTTTTTTTCCAGAGGTTATATGCCTTGCCCAGTACATAAGCCATCCCTGCCAAATCCAACACATAATAAGGAAAGATACTTGAACTGCACTGGGCAGCCATCCATGGCTTTTGGCATTAAGTGGGACAAAAGGTAGCTGCATACTGTACATAAAAGTACTTGAATTTATACTCTTGCAAATGGGTGTTACAAACCCTGCGGTATTTTCAGGAACTGGGTGAAGTTTGGTTTTTTTTTTGGTTTTTTTTGTTAAATCTTACTTTGGCATGAGTTAATCATAGTGTCATTCCAACCAATAATTTTGCCTTCTGTTGTATGTGCGCCTAGAGGTGTTGGGTGGTTAAGTGTACATCTTATTTTGACAAAATTTATTTTTATATTGCATTTTATAAAATGGAGTGGTCAAAATGTGTAATTTTATGATGCATGACTGGGTGATTAAACACATTGTAACAACTGCTAGTTTGATATTTTAAATATGTTCGCCTTGTCTCATCTTGGGGTATTTTATTGCAAAAGTCAATAGCAACCAATACTTTAGTTCCATCCTGAACACACAGTTGCAAGTAAATATAATTGCCACAGGATTGTGTTAGAAAAATGTGTTGCCTCCTACTGCAGAACTAAATTTTACTTGAACAACTATACCTGAACAACTTCAAGGAACAGGAGAATCACATGGAAGGTGCTGTTTGTATAAAAGAAATATATTGTGACTCACCATTTGTGGCATGGAGGAAACATCCAGTCACATCCCACTGGACAGTGCAGCAGCTAATTAGCATTATAATCATCATATGTAGTATTTTGCATTGGAGAATAACTGCAGCTTCTTAACACTTCTCAGCAGAGCACTGGAACAGTTTCAGTAGTTAGTCCGCTTTATTCAAATGAGTTTTACAGTGCAAAAGCCTTAGTGCCAATAATCATAATTTCAGGTACATTATTTTTTATAAGCATATTAGACAAGTGAAATCAAATAGAAGCTCTATTTTTCCACCATAAAAAGCTGTTTAAGCTAGTCATACACTTACCACTCAATATTTGGCAAACAGACTAAAAAAGAAGTTACCATAGAAGTTCCCTCTTAAAAAGGGAAAGTTTGTTCTTAAAAGAAATTAAGAGTTAACCAGTTTTTCAAGCTTAAAGTTCTGTTCTTTTGGTGAGGAATAACACAGGAAGGTAAATATAAATTTAAATAAACTTTTGCAGTGGAATGTAGAGATCAAGCAGCATGGCTTACACTTCCAGGAACTGAAGCATTAGCATACTAGTGCATTATGCTGAATATAATTGTTCTTTAAAATATATTACTTCATATTTAGCCAAATGTTACTTCTATTCAATAGAAAGGTTGTGGCTACTGGACAGAACAGATTTTTTTTTGTGCTTTGACAGCACAGCTGTAGTGAATTTTAAAAATGCAGTAATAAGACAACCATAACAGAAGGTTAAAATAGAAAGATAACTGGTAACAGTGTTGATCCTGGAACAAGCATTATGCAATACATAACTTTCTGTCCATCCGTATGTTAATATTAACATACAAAACGGTAACATGAACAGTTTAACTAAAGCAATACAGAAACATTTTGGCTTGCAGCAAAAAATTCCCCACTTTTGTAAGCTCAGACAGGTGCAGCACTTTAACTGAAGTCCCTGTTAGTAAGGACAAGAGGAGCCACGAGGGTCCAAAGATAGAGTAGAAGACAAATCCAGCTGGAGGTTATCTTCACCCACACGGCTGGCCACTTACTTGTCATTGTTTTAAAATCTGCATCAGGGCTAAAAAGTAAAGAAGTCAATTAATAGATACAGCAGGCACCTTCCACTATTCCTTGCTCCCTCTCATAAGAATCTGAAGTTAGGACAATCATTTGGGACCCTCCAATACAAGAGCCTTTGTGGGAGGAGTATGGTTAGACAACTACACCAGCAATTTCCTGGTTGCATGTGTTGATGTGCTATCCTTAAATGAAACCTTTCACTGGAGCCATACAGTAGATTCCTGATGGCTGCTGCTCTGTAAGCGTCTTTGGTCATTTATACAGTATGGCAGTGTTGGGGAAAGCAGCTACACGCTGCTGCAGCAGAGGATGTGTCCACATGCTCCCAACAGATATAGGAAAACATACTGCTGTTTAAGGGGCATGTACAGCTGTCCTGGCAGATCTTTTCCAGGGTGAAGAGCCAGTAACATTAGGCTGGCCTCTGACAAACCTTCCAGGAGGCCACCTCAAGCCAATTTCATATGTATGCCTCCTGCTGCTTGCCTATCTGAAGGATGGTAACCACAGTTTCTGCCCTTGCAGCTGTGAAGCAATGCACTAGGACTACAGCTGCCAATTTTGCCTTTTTACATCTTAATTCAGCAACACAAAACTGAGAAGGCACAACTCTAATGCAGCTGGCATAGGGTCAGCACATTAACCAGCCTGGCAGGAGTAGCCTATAGGGCAGGAGTCTCCTGTCCACCTAGAAACACTGCCTGGCACATACAACCCATCACCTTCTGTCTTGCTCTTACCTGTACCAGTTTGTGAGTGTCATCATGATGTAAAGAGAGGCAAGAAAGAGCATAAAGTGAAAGAAGGCATAGCTGTACTGAACACCATCCTGCTCATTATCCATGACATGGCGCACTTCTTCCTCTGCAGCCCCGCTGCCTGTTCCCACAGTCTCCTCCAGAATGGCACTGTCACTCCCAGACAGGATCAGCTTATTCACCTGGCTGTTACTTGAAGAGCGAATGCTGCAGCGTAACGCAAAGATAGATATGGTTAAACACTCCCTTTGCAGTTAGCTATGTTTGCTCATAAAGCAAGCAACAGACCACAATGAATGGCTGGGACTAGCAAATAATATTTTTTAAATCCATCTAGAAACACAAGGAAACTCCTCAAAAAGATGTTTTCATCCGAGCTTTAGTTAACCTAATTAGACAGGATTCCTAATCCAGGTCTTGTAACACCTTTTGTTCTGTTATCTGAATTGGGGTAATACAGCCTGTCCTCATCCACAGAACAGAATGCACTGTTATTAACCATATTTGAGCTTGGGCCTGAGATGGCAGCTGGACATAAATAAATGAAGGTACATTTTTCACTAGATCCAGATTTGAACAAAAAAGGCAGACAATTCCTACTGTTTCTCATTTGCGAGCAGTGCAGATCCTACCTGGAATACAAGAGGCAAAGGACAAAGATAACCAATCCAACAACACTCTGGGCATCCCACCACTGTAGAGACTTGGGCGGAGCTGGAGTAGCAGGTACAAAAGTGGCATTTGCCGGAGCAACTGTGGGCGTAGCTATCTGGGTAATGATGTTCAGCAAACTTGGGTTACAGTTTCGCTCTGCAAGGGATTTCAAGACAGATTAAAGAGAGGTGAGCTTTGACAGCATTTAGCTAAGGAAAGATCACAGATGAAAGCTTGTAAAATTTTTCATTCCCTTTAACTGCTGATGCCTTCAATTCCCCAGAGGCAGCAATGGCATAAGCTAGGCAAGGGTGTAATAAATAAATAAAACCAGAATGCCCTGACACTGTTTTCTTTCCCCTCACAAATACCCTAGTTTAGTTCTGGAAAGGGGCAATTTGATGGTTTCAGTAAAGTTGGCTTTACTGCCTCACTGGATTTTTTTCTAGACACATCAAGAATCCCCACATGGTGATCTGTAATAACTACAAGCCCCATCAACAGCTTCTGCTTTCACACTAAAATATGTTATACAAGACAGCTTGTTGCTTACCAGGCTCATTGGACATGGCTGACCAAGTGAGATACATGGTGTAGAGTGTGATCACAGAGGACTGGAGGAGGCCAGAGCGAGGCTGATGTTCCTGTTCAAAGACAGAATCGCAAGCCAAGGTCAAAAAGGCAAGTTTTACCTATAGCTGGATAGTTTTACCCCACTGCCGCAGATTCAACAATTACGAGCATGAAAAACTTTACATTTTAGAAATGCATTGGGCTTTGTTCTATGTTTAAAAGACTGGAATTAACTCTCCTTAGAGTAATACAGTTTATGGAGCGCGCAGCTCAAACATGGCAGGAATAAGCAAATCAAATCCAGTTTTTTCTTTGCCCAAGACTCTGTTATGGGTGAGTTAATCCCAACTTGCTTAACAGTTCTGTAGATACAAATCTAGCATATGATTTATTTGAGCAATACCAGTTCAGAATCAAGTAGCATGCAAGCTTCCTCTCATATTAAACATGCTTACCCATAATTTCAAAGCCACAGTATTAAGCCAATAAATTCCCAGTTTATTTTGCTTTTCCCTGATGGGTTTTTTTGTTCTGCCAAAACCTTCACCACTAAAATCACCCCAACAGTGCCTCACATGGCAACAAAGGCCAAAACAACGCTAACAAAAAAAGGCCTGTCTTCAGGAAAATGTCACTAGGAAGTGCATTGGTTTCAGAGCAAGATTTTTTTTTTTTATAATGTTCCTAGCTAGCATAGCTATGATAGCCAAATTTTAAAGTTCTTATGTCTGACTGAACTGGTACTGCATCTTTCTTACCTCCCTGCTTTGTATGTCAGAAAAAAATAGCAGAGAAAAATAATACCTGAACTTTTGAAAGGATAGAAACGATGGAGACAGCAATGCACAGGATCATATTAATGCTTATGAAGAACTTGTTCTCAGCACAGTCATCAGGCTTCGTGTAGAAAACATAGAAGAGCACAACAAAAACCAGTGACAAGCCATAAAACAAGCACGTACAGGACAGCAGAGCTGGAGGGAAAAAAAATAACTGTTACAATACGCATGTAGTTTAACAGTACATCTAAGGCAATTTAATGACCAGCTACCCCCGTAAAGAGACAGTCCCTCTTCCTCACTGGGAAGCCTGGTTCAGAAAACTAGACTAGCAGAACGCATTTTTATTAGGTATGGCTAGATTTCTGCTTTGGCTCACTAAGCAGCATAGCTCAGAGGAAAGCCAACACTGCCATCAGGGGAATAAGACCTGCTTTCAGCAGCAGTTTAATTGGTTTAACTGATGTCAAGCCACAGGGTTGAAAGGCGAATGCTTTCTGCACACTTCTCATGGGCTATTTACAAGCCCTGAATTCCCCCTTCTATGCTAGAGGCCACCCATTTTCATTTCCATTCTGCTATGTTCTTTATAAGAAGCTACAAAATGCTGTTGCAGCATTCATAGCTATGAGCAAAGAACCACAACAATTAGCACTTTGTAATTAGCGGTCAGCTCAGGAGCACGTGCTGAGGCATGCTTTGTGTTGTTGTGCAGCCACTGTCACAGACACAACTGACCTGAGGACCTCAGCAGGGGCAAATCAACATCAGAGCTGAAGAGATCCAGGCTACTAGCTCTGCACTCGTACTGCAAACTACCCAAGTGTTGTTTATTATGACTGTCAGATCTGCTAATCACAAGCGTAAAATATTTTGCATTTTATTTAATGAGAAGGCAGCAACACTGCAGTTATTAATTCCAAATGTTTACATTAGTGACTTGAGTCTGTGGAGTCTAATTCTAGGATATGTCTGCTAAAAAGTAAGTGATATTTATTGGAGTACTGGCCAGCAGAAACAAATCCTTTACAGGTTAAGATTCCTACCTGCATACCAACATTTAGAATTTCCTTCCTCCTTTCTCTCAACCCAGCTCTCATTCCAGGAGTGAGCAAAGTCCACAAGCAGCACCAACTGGATAAGAATGAAGCAAAAGGCTCCAAAAACACCAATACTAAACCAAGCTAGAAAAGGGAGCAAAAAAATAAAGAGGGTTAGCTTTCATCATTTGCTTGCTAACCCAGATTTTTTTTTTTTAAAAAAAAAGCTCCTCATTATACTGCAGTCAAATAATGAAAAAATCTGAAACTATATTTAGAAACGCAGATGCTATTAATCACTTTGGCCTCCATCCTGCAGAAGCATGCAAGGAGTCCCAGCTATTTCAAGGGTGCAGCCTATCTATACTGGTCAAGCTGAGCATGGGAATGTTTAGCCCAATGTGTTTTCAGAATGAAAGCAAGATCCAACACAAGACATCTCTGTGCACACAAGTACCATCACGCCACATTTCTCTGAGTATCAACAACCCTTTCAAGTTCCTGTGATGTGGCCAGACAATAAAAGTTTCTTGCACAGATTTTTCCAGAGACTCTAGAGAAGCATTTAGCATTTGTCTGTGTTCTGAGGTGCCTCTAATCTAGAGTGTCAGAAGACTCAGCCCAGTAACGATCGTGTCATGGAGTACAGAATTATTAATACCCAACACCTATGCACTTGAAAAGACATTGCTTATTGCCATAACTTCAGTTGGTCACCAAAATACTGGATGAACAAATGAAGCAGGACAGAATCCATGTCTTCTACAAGCTAACTTTCACTATCACAGCTATAACCTGGTAAGTCTGTGAAAAGGTTTCAGTTTATTAAACAGAATTCCATGATGACGTATTAACTGTACCTCTTGTGAAAGGCCCTTCAGGGATGTAAAATGCACCGACCATGATAGCCACAATGGCAGCTACTTTGAAGAACCAGAACCTTTGAAAGAAGATACAAGTTGAAAATATTGGTCTTATTCTGCACACAATAGTCATGTTTTATGTGATCTGCAAGCAGGTTGCTGTACATAGATGAATGTCTCACAGAAATTTAAAGAAAAAAAAGTTGTATTCAGTGGGATTACAGATAAAGAGGTTCATTAAATCAAGGTGAGCGGGTGAAGCAACAGTCAATATATTGGAGACATGGACTGACAGAAACCTCAAAGTTCAACAAAGGCCAATACAGAACATTGTACCTGGAACAGAAAAACCCTGTGCAACAGGACAGACTGGGGGCTGACTGTCTAGAAAGCTTTGCTGAAAGAGGAGCTCCTGCTCCAGTAAACGGAACGTGAGTCAGTAGCTCATCCTCGCAGGGAGGAAGGCTAACTCTGCTCTATTCAGTGTGGAGAAAGGAAAAGGGAGATCTAATTGCTGTCTTCAACTGCCTGTCGTCTCTATACCTTTCAACAAAAGAAAGATGTAAAGATGACAAAACCAGACTTTTCTTGCAGGTGCACAGTGAAAGGACAAGAGGCAACTGTTGCAGTTTAAGCCCATCCAGCGGCCAAATGCTGCACAGCCACTCACTCACCCTCCCCAGTCTCAGGGGATGGGGAAGAGAATTGGAGGGGTAAAGGTAAGAAGAACTCATGGGTTGAGATAAGAACAATTTAATGATTGAAAAAGAATAAAATTAATAATGACAATAATAATAAAAAAAATTATACAAACGAGTGATACACAGTGCAACTGCTCACCACCCGCTGACCAAGGCCCAGCCCATTCCCAGCTAGCGATCCCGGAGGAGAAAAAATCCTGAAACTGCAGTCCCAGAAGCGAGAGAGGGAGAACTTCCCAGCAGACCCTCATTAATATACCGAGTATGATGTTGTACGATATGGAATATCCCACTGGACAATTTGGATCCATTGCTCTGGCTATGCTCCCTCCCAGCTTGGAAGGGGAAAGTTGGAAGTTGGAAAGTCCTTGTTTTCTTGGCAACAACTAAAAACATCAATATATTATCAACATTCTTCTTGTACCAAATCCAAAACACAGCGCTATTCTAGCTACTAAAAAGAAAATTGGCTCTAGCCCAGCCGAAACCAGGACAGCAATGAATGCAAGTTAGAAAAAAGAGAAAATATAATTAGATATTGCAAAAAATTGTACCAGTTCCCAGAGAGGTCAAACCATCCCCATCCTTTGACACATTCAGAACTCAACTAGACAAGATCCCAAACAACCTGCTCCATGTTAGTCCTGCTCTGAACAGGGGGTTGGATCAGATGATTTCCAAAAGCCCCTTTCAAATTAAATGACTCTAAGATAATTTGGCCATCTAGCCCAGAACTATGCCAGTTAAATCAGTGAATCAGAAACCAGTTTCTGCTGGATTACAGAGTCAGACTGGCCTAGTGAATGGCCCAATGAGGGCTAGAATCAGTGCAAGGAAAGGGATATAAAACAACGGAAATTATCATCTCTGTGGAAACATAGAGGGGTGCCCAGAGCACCGCCCTTTCGGTTACCCAGCCTCAAAGCATTATCACTACGTTGAACATGTAACAAAAATAGGAAGCTTTTAAGGCAATTAAAGTGTTATTCTGCATTCAGTTCAAAAGAAACTCGAGGCCGTCAATGTATGCATAAACAATTTGCCAATACGTTCAGCAAAGAAACTTGAGGAGAAAGAGAGAAAACAAGCTGGATGACCAGAGAGCTGGCTCACACACATACCCATTGTGCACTGCGGCTCTGGGATCTTTACTTGTTTTCACTTGTATCATCAGCAGAGAGAGAAGAAAGAAGAACACTGCCATGGCAAAGCTGATGCGATAGACAGCTCTGTATCCAACAAACACATCGCAGCTGACAAAGCCATTCATATGCGGTATCCGAGCATGAAGCCCATCATCACAAAATCCAGGGATCTGAGTAAAGACACATTTAGTTGTGAATTTTTGTCTGTATTTGCAATTATACTCTTTCAGCACTCTAATAGCTCTCAATCAGTTCTCTTCTGGTAGATCTGATAACAAAAGACCTTGTGCTCAGCCGGCCTGTACAGGCCTTATTATCATCTTTCTTTCCCCATGTCATCTCTAAAAACATGCAGGAAGATTAAGATACCAAAGCAGGAGGCCATCTCCAGGCCTGGTCAGGTTTCAGAGACCAGGCACGTACTTAAAAATGTACATCTGCTGAATTTGCTATTTTGGCTAGAAGCTGTTCAGTACATGCAGTCTCTTAACTCAGGGGACAAAGCACATTTGGGTGTTTGTGTCTCTCATGTAACCCACTCCAGCTAAAGAGAATCAATAGTCACTGTCACACAGTTCGAAAGAGCTTTCCCTCCATACCTTCTTCAACTGCTCTTCCATCCCTGGTGCCAGCATAATGCAGGCGAGAACAGTACTGAGGAGGAGGAGGAAGGCATAGATAAGACGCGTCACTGTTGAATTCTTGCTGTTGGGACAACACTGGCACAGTAAACAGGAGGCACCGCTGCACAGACAGGGAATCTGAAGGACAGAGGCAGAGGCAGTGAGGGCACTCCCCTGGGAGCTGACACTGGACATACAGCGACACCAGGAGAGGAAAACCCAGACTCCCATCTAGGGACACTTCCCTCCCTCCCTCCCTGCCGGACCACACCGATAAGCCGTTTAACCAACATTTCTGACTGACACCGTGTTTGGAAACCCCCGCAGACCATCCGCCCTATCGCCCCGGGTCCTGCTCCCGGGGCCCCGCAGCCGCACAGGGCTGGCAGGGACA